GAGTGAATTTATGACACTTGTAACCAGTAAGAGAGCTCTGAAGCCCGCGACTTCAGATCTGGGCAGATTTCCCACAAGAACCTCTGGAAGCCCTACAATCCCATTCAGTGTGACTGGGAAGTCAGTCCAGTGGCTTCTCCCACGGGTCAGGCGGAACCTTTAAAAACTAAAAGCCCTGAAAAAAAAAAAAACGTAACGGGTGGGAAAACACCTCCAGCCTCCCAGCACAAGACACGCGTTCCGCTGCTGTGCCCCAGCAAAGGATCCAGGACCCCGGGAATGAAGGGGAAGCCTCCTCCGCATGTGCTTTGTGCCGGGGAGAAGGACCAGCACCGGCGGGAGAGGAGGCTCGGGGTGGCTCCCCGGGCACCCCCCGAGCACGGGGAGCGACAGGAGCTCAAGGCTGATCCCTCAGGAGCCCGCATGGCCGCGACCCCCCGAGCCAGGGCAGCCCCCGCACATCGTCCCGCCGCAGGGCCTCGCTCCCTCGGCGTCTCCTCGGGGAACGGCCCAGGGCGGCAGGCGGGAGCGGGACCGAGCCCCCCGCCCCAGGCCCTCGTGGGCACGGTGAGGGCGGGCTGGCGGGACGCGGGAGCCGCGGGACCCCCTCACCTGAGCGCGGCGGAGCCCCCGCGGCCAACACGCGGCGAGAACAAGATGGCGGCCGGAGAAGGAAAGAGAGGCGCACAGAGAAAGGAAGCTCCTCGCCACGTGACGGCGCCGGCCCGCCCGCCGATTGGCGGAGCCGCCCAGTCTCATTTGCATAGGGGCGGGAGCCGGAGGGGCCCAGGGCCTCCTGGGAGTTGTAGTCTCCGGGTGGAGGGGGACAGACACCCCGTGTGCCGGTGCGGGGAATGGCGGCCTGGGGTAATAAACAGTGTCTCGGGGCCGACAGCGGTGCCGCTGGGGCAAGGAGCGGTGTCCCGCTGTAGTCTCGGGTGCCCTCGGTTAGGGAGCGGTGGCCGGTGACCCAAACCCGGGGCACGGCGGCTCCGAAGGCGTCACCATGTGCTCCGCTATCCCCCTTGGGGAACCCTCGTTCACGCACGGCGCTTTGCGGTCGGTTTTGCCTTCCCGACAGCTGCTGGGCAACTCCGGAGAGCAGCGCGACAAAAAGGTTTATTTGGGAAGGAGAAAATAAAAGCGGATGCCCGTACACACACACACTCCTCCCGCTGCCTGCTCCCGCAGGAATAACCCTGGGCTTGTCCGGGGGCAGCAACCCAGCTCCTCGGATCCCACCGCATCCCCTCCCACTGGGTGCCTCCTCTGGCACCCCCCAGCCGAGCGGCGAAGGCTGCGCACCGCCCACATCCGCCTCACATCACTTCCTGGGCTTTAAAAAAACGGGGAAGGAAAAAAAAAAAAAGAGGAAAGAAAAAAAAAAACCCGCCGGGTCCTGTGCTGTGCGGAGCTGTTGGGCCGTACCCGGTGCCGCCGCTGCCTGCACCGACACCATGAAGGCTCAGCCCGCGGCCGCCTCCGTCCTCTGCCTGTGCCTGGTGCTGGCGGCCTCCGCCGCCTCCTCCGAGGGAGGGCTCGGAAAGGGTCAGGAAAACGCTTTCTTCGGGCTTTCCTCAACTCGTGTCCCCGCCGCGGGCGCGGGTCCGGTCCCTCAGCCCGGGGGGCGGGGGGACACAGCGCGGGTCTGGGGGCTGGAGGTGAGGGGGGTTGGCACCGTCCCTGCCATCGTGGTTCTGTCCGGCTGAGCCCCCTTTCGAAGGGCTCCGCGGAGCCCTGCGGGGCAGCCCCTCGATGCCCGCCCAGCCCCCGCCGGCTCCTGGCAGGCGATGAATGGCGCTTCACTCCGCCCTCGGCTTCCCTTACCCTCGGTGACCGCTCCTCACCCCTCTCTTGGCTCACCGAGGCTCCTTGACTAATTACCGTGTCTAATAGCGGGGTTTAGCCGGGGCCTGAGCTTCACCCCAGGTGGTGGCTTTGCCTTAGAGGCAAATCTCCTCCTCAGGACCGGTAGTAACCAATTCGATCAATGACAGCAAAGCTCTGTGGTGTGGATCCCAGCCAGCCATCCTCCTTTAATTCCCCAGATGACTTTCATTCAAAAGAAACACTCCGTAGTGTGTTGTGTAATTGTTTTAAGAACATACCGAAGCTTGCCACAAATAGGATTTTGGTTTAAGTACAGAAAAGCTTTCAAAAAGTGTTTCTCAGCTAGAACAATAAAAGGCTTTCCCTAATTTAACATTTTGGCCTTTGACTGAAATAGCTGACGTGTCAATATTCTGGGTAAACACGACTTCTGCTAATCCTATTGGCTTTTGCTTGGGTATGTTGAGATTGTCCAAAAGTAGCCCTGTGTCCAAAGCTGCCCGAGCAGCTGGGGTGTGATTGGATATGGACAGGGCATCCCCACCTCACTTCGAGCTCATCTGTTTGATGTGTTGCGTCATAGTGTTCACAGTGGTTCATATCAGGAGGGAAGATCAGGTAATGCTCTGTGCCAACTGTCCACACCTCCCGGATACTGAACTAAGGTGCCACGAGGATTTGCTGACTCTGTTTTAGGCTTTCTCCAGCTTCTTTGCCATAGTTGTCTACAATGTCCACTTTCCCCTGTGTCAGCACTGGGCAGTCTGGGGCTCTGACCTCTGTGTACCTCCTGAAAACTGCTCCCCTCAGCACCCTGGGGGTTGCTGACTAATCCAAACCCTCAGTGATGGGAAGGGGCAAGCCGAGGCTGATGTTTGATCATCCAGTGCACTAATTGTTAATTACTGGAGCCATAAGACATCTGAGGAGGTCTTCTAAGGGAGTTCCCCTTCGAACAGTTCCCGGATCTCCTTCATCTCAGCTCTCCAGGTGGCTTTTGGCCCTGTGCTTTGTTGGCTACTAAAAAATCCCAACCCTGGCAGTCCCTAGTTTGCAGCTGTTAAACATACACTGACTCACTCTTGTGTCAATTGACTCAACAAGACTTGTTATCTGGATATGGGATAAAATATTTCCTGCGTTGTTCAGTCATTCTATCGTTCAGAAATATGTGTGGTGGTGTTCTTTCTTACTCTTCAATTATCATCAGCAGCAATAATTAGCATAGTAGTTTTAGAGCAATTAATGATCATTATGTTGGCCTAGGAATTTTTAAGTTTTGCTTTAGTTCACATTCAGTGGGATTTAGGAAGCCAAATGCTGACATGTTTAATTTGTCACTCATCATTTAATAAGAGTTCATAGATTGAAGAAGAATGGAGGCTAATCAGAAGGCCCTTCAATTTTAATATCCATCTGGGGACTTTTGATGTTGTTTGCATATAGATATAAATATTCATTAGCATGGTATGTTTTTGTTAATTAATTTCACTGGGATTCCTCATACGACTCTGTGGGTTGCAAGTATTTGCAGACTTTCCGGAACTGGGACTGTAGCTGGCTTTAAGAAAAGAATATAAAATAAGCTGAAAATACTCTTGAGGGTTGGACTGTTTTCCTCTGTTAGCTGACATGCTAAATTATGCAGCATTTATAAACCCTTCTCTCTGGCAGGTTTTGGAGATCATATTCATTGGAGAACACTAGAAGATGGGAAGAAAGAGGCAGCAGCCAGGTATGTTTGCTAGTTTTAAATACAGAAAAGTGTCTTTAAAAGCATTCACAAAGGTTCTGTGTCAATCCTAAATTTAACCACAGAAAAGAGTAATTATTAACAAAAATTAGGATGGTTTAGGAGACTTCAGATCCCTACAGCTTATTAGAGAGAAAATACAGAGTTTTGATATCTTTGCTGAGGCACCACCTAGGTTTAATCACTGCAATCATTGAATCCCTAGCATGTCTTTGAAATGAGAATAAAATAATTATTTCCTATAGTAAAGAACGATATGGTTTCTCAAACCCACAAATGAATGTGTAAATAGTGCTTAGTCCCCTTGAACTCAGCAGTGCTGAGAGCTTCCCTAAAATTCCTTGTGCCTATATAGATGAGGCCTCAGCCTGAGATATTTTGTTCCAATCTGGGGGAAAAAGTCTGGAATTTTCAAACTAGTGAACTGATAGAACCTGATTTGGTTAAGCTTAAACTCTAAAAATAACAGACTCTAAAAAAGGAAAAAATTATATTTTCACATTTTTTTCCTCAGAATTTCTTCTGTTTCTTTTTAAAATGTGAGAAGGAAAATGGTATGCTTTTAAATTCTACTTGTATTTTAAATTTATAACCTAGATCTGACAATGCTGACATGAGCAGAAATTCCTCTTGCCTTCCAGGTTTGCTGTTTGAGTTCAGCTCTCAAACTGATCCATTACTCTAATGTAGATACCAAATTAACCCAGATGGTACAGATCAGAGGTCTTACAAGTTACTCTAACTGGATATTTTTGAAAGAAGTATATTATTTCAGTATTTACAGGTATAATTGGAGCATTACTTTGCAGTGAAGCAGAGGAAGGTTCAAAATGAGACAGAGGGGGGCTGGAGAGGTGGGAGCTGTAAACTCTCAGGTTTAGGCAGGATGAGCATTCCTGCTCAAGGAGACTCTGCAGGAAGGGGTGGGTGTAATCCACACCCTCTCGCTGTCGCAAGCACAGACCGTTCACTCATTTGAGTTCAGCAGCATTCGAGCGTTACTGAAGGACTGGGAGAAAGCACTAATAACAAAGAAAATATAAACCTAAAAGGTAGATTTGTTTTCCTAAGTCTGACCTTAGGTCAGGAGGAGATGAAAAATAATGAGATGCACCAGAGCCAGTGGGCTGGGAAGTTTCAAGACTTCAGTTTCAATTCTATAAACTGCGCAGCGTGGATGCGTCGGGGGATGCTGGAGACGTCTCGTTTTTAAGTTCCCTGCGGACGAGTGCAGGGATCGAGCGTTCCTACAGTTTCTAAGCCGGACGCCTGTCAGGACGGTGTCCCGGTGCCAGAGACGGGGGCTCGGCGGTTCCGAACGCCCGAAGGGGCGGAGGAGCCCGCACCGCGGTGTTGCCGCTCGGAGCCGGCGGGTGCTCCCGGCCGTGTATGGGTGCATGTGACCGGCGGAAGCAGTTCCCTCCCATCCGGGTCGGTGGCGGCGGGGCGATGCCGCTGGTAGTGCTGTGCGGGCGGCCCGGCAGCGGCAAGAGCCGGCGGGCGGCGGAGCTGCGGGATGCGCTGGGCGGCCCCGAGCGCGCCGCGCACGTCGTGTCCGAGGCGGAGGGCGGGCGGGCGGCGCTGCGGGCCGAGGTGGAGCGGCGGCTGAGCCGGCGGGACGTGGTGATCGTGGACGCGGGCAACGAGCTGCGGAGCATCCGCTACGAGCTGTACTGCGCGGCGCGGCAGGCGGGCACGGCCCGCTGCCTCCTGCACTGCGCCGGCGGCGGGGGCGGCCCCGACGAGCCGCCCTTCGAGGAGCCCGACCCGGGCTGCCGCTGGGACCGGCCGCTGTTCACGGTGAGCGGGGAGGAGCCGCTGCCGCTGGGCGACATCCGCGCCGCGCTGTTCGAGAGCGCCCCGCCGCCCCCGCACCGCTCCACCCGCGCACAGCCCCTGCAGTCCGGGGAGTTCCTGCACCGCCTGGACCGCGTCACGCAGGACGTGCTGGCCGCCGTGATGGCCGCGCAGAGCGGCGGGGCGCTGCCCGGAGACACGGTCCGCGTCCCCGGCCTGGCCGAGGGGCTGGTGCTGAGCCGGCCCGTGAGCCTGGCCGAGCTGAGCCGGCTGCGCAGGCAGTTCATCAGCTACACCAAGATGCAGCCCAGCGATGAGAACATGGCCCAGCTGGCCAGCATGTTCTTGCAGTACCTGAGCCGCAGCATCCAGTGAACCAGTGGCAGCGGCCGTGGTCGTCGAAGTACTTGCTACAGTAAGAACACGCCTTCCAGACGGAGACCCTGAAAAGCCTGGATCCCACCTGTCGTGTATCGGATATTTGGCAGCAGCAGCTCTGGGTGCCGTGTCCCTGCAGCAGCCGAGCAGACTATTTCTGAGAGAATCTGTAGGGATACATTTCCCCACACCCCTGAATTCTCCCCATCAGAAAGGAGTGCAAGTGTTGCATCCCCAAGCAAATGAAGTCTCCTGTGGAGACATAAACCTCAGTAATAAAGTAGTATGTGAATATGAAAGCCCAAAAGGTGATGACTGTGTCTTCAATAAGAAGATTGTTTTTCCAGGGCTGCCTCCAGATAATGTCAAACTGAAGAAGAAACTTCAGGTCCAGAATTAGAACAGGCTGTGTTTTAGGATGTGACTGTTTCAAAAAATCTGACCGAACCCAAGAGAGATTTGCAGCTCTGCACTGCAAAAGGATGCAGGCTTAGCAAACTCAAACTCAAACATTTTATTTATCAATAAAATGTGTGCCTTAAATGGACTAAACTCTTAATTTATCTGCAGGACTGTTTTACTGAAATAACTTGTCATGTCTTTTCTCTGCAAGGTCATCATTAAACACCTTTAAAAACACTAATTGCTTAAGAATGAGTGCTCTCATAGGAAAAACAAGCTAAAATTGCAGTGTCTGTTCTTGCTGAAACCCGAAGGTCCACACCTGCTGGGATGGTAGCTTAGTTTTGCATTTAGTTTCCAGTAATTTGGGGTTTTCTATATCACAGGTACAGTTTGTATAAACTTCTCACTTTCTGGTGGATGCTTCACCCCTCATTCTCAGGAATTGTCGTTTTGGTTTTAGTTATATGTGTAGTGCTCCCTGGGAGGGAATAGTCCAGTCTGTCACACCGACTGCTGGGGGATTTATGCATTGCAGAACTGAGAAATGACTACAAAAATGTTTTGATGTAAATAAGTTTATCTTACCAGTCCAAGGAAAGAGAGTAAAGCTGAGGAAACACATTCATTATTTCCAACCTCTGTGAGTTCTCACTAAGAATGGGTATTGCAAGGCTGTGAGCACTTACATTTAAAATCTGCTTTGAAAATATCTCTTTAAAAAAAAAAGCGTGTTGCAGTACTGATTGCCAGATGATTGAACTCTTTCGATGTGAACCACTGGTCCTTGATAAGAACAATGTGTATTTTCCAAATGTTAATTGACCTCTCCTCAGGAAAGAGGCAAAACAATTTGTGACTCCGTAGAAACAATGAAGAAAAAAGTGGTTTTTCATCCTCAGGGAGAGGACACTGAATGCAATGCAAGCTCTACTAGGGCAATGTGTATTAATCCTTACTGCAAACAGAGCCCAGCGTGAAGGTGATGACATATTGTTTAATTATAGAGGGCAAACTTCTCTTTGAATGACTCTAAATGTTAATGGCTTCCTCTCCACCCTTTCCTGGTTGTAAAGATCATAACTGAACGCTGCTAAGTAGAGATTTCCTTTCGTATCTGTTTACAGCTAAAGGGTTGCTGGGTTTGATGGTTGCTCAGTGAGGGTCTCGGTCACAGGAGGTGACTGAAACATGTGGGCTGTAATGGGGAGGAGAATGGATGGGTGACTGTCATCCACTGCATTGCCATAAGCAGCCACAAAAATAAATCCTGACATCTCTCAAGCAGCTGGTGTCATTAACACCATTTCCAGTAATCCAGTAAAAAAACCAAACATGACCAGTTGTGTATCTGAGGAATCTAAACTAATAAGAGCAAGTCTTGCAAAGACAATCTTCTCTATGTGAGCACTTACAGTAAAGTATTATATGACATGCTTTAAGATTATGAAAACTTTTTGCAAGCCAGCCTTAGAACACAGCAGAATTTCTTTATATCTCACTCATTTTCTGTACTTTGAGCCTTTGAGGAAGCCCTGACTGTTAAAATGTACATGTAAAAGAATTTGGTTTAGAGGCTTTTTGGAAGCTTTCTTTGACAGTTTTATTCCTTCCTTTTTTTAGTGGTTTGCCTCTTATGGTTATCATCCACAAGTCCTGGTGTGGAGCTTGCAAAGGTAAGTGTAGTTAATACTAGAGCTTGCTGAAATTTCTGATGAACCTTTGCATGCAAATCACATAGCCATGAGAAACATGAGCTTTGCATTTGAAATGTAGCTGATGGTAACTGTATTTCATCAAGAGAGGCATAATATGGCACTGCCATCGCAAACAAACAAGCTGAGGGTCATGGCTGAGCTTAAAGGATGAGGCAGTTGAGTGAGAATACTGGTTTACATGAGTTTGATACACACATTCCATTTACTCACTGCTTATTGTACCAGCTTTCTGGAGGGAGGGATTAAGTGGAGAGTTTGATACTGCTTGAAAATCTGAAATGTTTTCTGCTGGTTTTACATACCTCTTTATTTTTATTTCTCTCCTTTTAATTAGCTTTAAAGCCAAAGTTTGCTGAATCCAAGGAGATCTCTGAACTTGCCCATAATTTTGTTATGGTCAACCTTGAGGTAGGCTGCTTTCTGATCTGTGTCCATGTTACTGCTTGGTAACTAAGCATTTGGAATCCAACTTAACTGGTTCCATCCTGTTTGGTGTGCATCCTAAATCCTGCACTCCTGAATAGGCATTCAGGATTGATTGATGCAGCTCATTGTTTTAAAAAGACTTTTCTTCAGTCTGGTTATTTTAATTGTGTTTATAAACCTGGCTCTCTGCCACTGTCTCTTTAACAATTTGTACCTTGTGTGATTCTGTTGCTGCAATAAAGGAATTTATGTTTATTCTCTCATTACCTATCAAACATTCCTACACCAAAGTGGGGTGTGTAATGCAAATTAAGAGGACAGAAAAAATATTATTATTTTCACAGAGGATACTTGTTAAGTTAAAAATAACATACTTTCCTTTGAGAGTGGAAGATCCTGCAGTTATGTGGCATCTATTCAAGATGTAAATTGCTCAGGGTAAAAGGAATCCAAAGGCAATAACCTGTTTCTTTAAAAAGCAGTGTAGTGTTTTGTTAGATATCTTGCTAATACATTCATTCTCTTCTGTCTTGCTTCGGTAGGATGACGAAGAGCCCAAGGATGAAGCCTTTAGTCCTGATGGAAGTTATATTCCCAGAATCCTTTTCATGGGTAAGGCATCCACAGCTCTTGTATCCGCTCACAGGACTGGGTTCTTATTGTTACCACCTAAAATTCCCGATGGGTTTCTTGTTTCTTAGATCCCAGTGGAAAAGTCCATCCAGAAATCATAAATGAGAGAGGAAACCCCAGCTACAAGTATTTCTATACCAATGCTGACCAAGGTATGTGCGAAGTAGTTGAACCTGCATTTTTGGTGAGGACACACCTTCGCTGTTTAGTGGAGAAAAATGATGGTGCTTTGCAGCATGACTGGGAGCTGTTAGCTGCAGTGTGAGTGAGTGGTTCTCTAACACCTGAGGAACTGTATTCAGAATCATAATTCACCTTATGTCTGTAGGACCTAAACTTTGTCTCCAGTTGTGGCATGGAAAATCGTGGAATTTGCATGATCCAGCTACACATAGTTGAGGAAATGATGCAAGACTGTAGGTGGTTTTTGTTTGGTTGTTGTTTTTTTTTTCCCCCCACAGGTTAATTTGTAGATGTACATAATAAACTGTTGTTTTAAAATACTTTCATTACCAGTCCACCTTGATGTTTTCATTGTGAGATTAACAGTTGGTGTCTCTCTTGTCTAATCTTTCAGTTGTCCAGGGGATGAAGGAGGCCCAGGAGAAGCTGACAGGTGATGCTTTCAAACAAAAGCACCTGGGAGATGAACTATAATGGATACACTAAATGATGCTTTTTGACTGCTTCAAAACTCTAAAAGGAAACGATTGAACAGACTGGGAATGTAGTTGCACTGAAGGGACATAATTCTCCTGTCAACAATGTTAGGGTAAACCCTGTTTGGAGTTCACACACATGCATCAGTCACAGTGTTTTCTCCTCCTGCCTGGAAGTTTGCACTCTGATGGTTATTTGCAACTAGGTAATGTGCAAACACATCCCTTTGTGTGTTTGAACAACCACTAATATTTGGTGTTAAAAGGGAGGTGTGTAGGGAAGAACATGATTTGAGGGCAAACTGTGACTGGTAAAATTAGGAGCAGCCAACATTTTGACACCTAATCAGGGTCGAATCCCTCTTTTCTCACTGGTATTACGTGATCCCATTGTTTTTACTGGGCATTGCCATGAATGGGGCATCTTCCTAGGCCAGGTATTTTCTAGATATCCCAAAACACGAATTCTGCCAGTAAACTCAGTAGAATACATTTCATGAATGTCCAAGTAGCATGTGAAATTATCAGCTCTGCAAATGTATTTTTTGTGTAAAACTCTGTGATTCACTTTTATTTGCCTTTGGACAGAAATTTAACTTTTTCCTTAGGCACTCACCTTTTGATTGTTCCATCAAGTGAGGGTGGGTTATGTTGAAGCTTTATGGGGTTTCCCCTTTTATTCTTTGAATGTTTTCTGGCGATTGCTTTGCCATCACATTGTACTGTATTTTTGTACCAGGGTGAAAAAAAAATTAAACCTTTTTAAAGATAAGCATGCAGTGAGTGTTTTGTGGTAAAGGGCATAACTTTCTGTTCTTAAGCAGGGGGGGATATATTTTTGTTTATGTTGCAGTGGTTATTGATGTTGACTGTCGCAGCTGAAGAAGATTCCTTGTCATTTCAACTCAACCATTCTTACACTGCCTATGCTGTCAAGGACAAGGTGGTACCTAGTGTTTATCTACTGGAACTGAAAAGGAAAATAGAAGGGGAAAAAATCACCTCTCAACCTGGTGGGAACACTTTTCCTGAGGCAGCCCAGGATGCAGTTGGCTTCTTTGCCACACAGGTGTATTGCTGGCTCATGATCAGCTTGTTCTCCACCTGGACTCCCATATTGTCCTCTGGAAAGCTGTTTTCCAGACTCCTGGTGCACAGGTTATTCCTCTCCAGGTGAAGGACTTTGCATTTCCCTTTCTTTAACTTCCTGACAACCCTCCCTGTCCATTTCCCCAGCCTGTTCAGATCCTTTTGAATAGCAACACAACCATCTGGTGATCAGCTACTCTTCCCCAGCTTTGTATCGCTGCCAGTTTGCTCAGAGTGGGCTCTGTCAGTTCATCCAGGTGGTTAATGAAGGTGTTTCAGTCCAGCCAGGGGTACTACATTAATGATAAGCCCCTTTCAGCCTAGCAGTTCTGCCAGTTTTCCATCCACTTCACTGCCCACTTATTTAGGTTGTACTTCATCAGTTTGTCTGTGAGGATGCTTTAGGAGACAGTGTAGAAAGCCATAATAAAGCCAAAATAAACTACATCTGCTGCTCTCCTCTCATCCACCAAATTAGTCATCTAAAGCAGAAATTCCTGTCCCACTTACTGTAACTTCCCATAACAAACACAGAGAGAGCATTTTCCACAGATACTTTTTGAAGAGCTATCTGAGGACATTAAGTGGAGAAAATTGTTGTATATACCATAAACCCAACTTGTCTACTGAGTCCATTTTTACTGTTCAATAACATTAAGAATTTTACTTTGCATACCAGTCTGCCTGGTGTCTGATTTTAGAGACCAAAACT